TACCATGTAATCATCCCGCGTTATAACTGTTGTGGGTATACATTTACCATGTAATCATCCCGCGTTATAACTGTTGTGGGTATACATCTACCATGTAATCATCCCGCGTTATAACTGTTGTGGTAATACATTTACCATGTAATCATCCCGCGTTATAACTGTTGTAGGTATACATTTACCCACTTATTCTTGTGCAGTTAAACATTTAAAAGTTGTCTTGATTGTTAAGAAAGTTACAACTATTTACCTGGGGAGTAATTAAAAGTCATCTGGAGAGTGAATAGTATTCACCCAGTAAACAATGTCTACTCGGAGAGTAAAAATAGAGTAGGTAGTGTTTAACTGGAGATGAGATAATGTCAGTTGAGGATACACTTGTTATTTAGTTGTCCTTAGAATAACTCCTTCAGCTTATCATTACATCCCCATACAACTATGATCTAGCTAAATATGTAACTTGTGCTCTTAATATAACCTATGAAGCACATGGTTGACATATCTATTACACATACTTCACTGTGCCGATTTGTTTTTGTTTTCATACGCGGTTGAAATTAGCGAAGAACAGGTAACAAAATCTACCCATGTCCTCCAATTTAATGTTCCGACATATTAACGATGTGTTGTCTTCATATAACAAGAAATATACGGCTTACTAGTAAGCTGTCTGATAAGTATGACGATTTCTGCTTTCCTATCACGAACTTTCCAGTCCTGAATAGATACATCTCTGCTTTCGCTTCCTACGGTGGTTAGATGTCGCAGTTAATCAAATATTAAAGGTTTTCCCCGAATGTCACGATGTCGATTAAAAAATGGACAAATTCACAAGAAATGCAGTTTTTCTGGAGATTAAATATAAGTTACATATTCGTCACCAGTTTCTTATTGCTGAATATTTGCCTGTGAGATATACATATGGAAGCCTTAGATAATGCCCGTTACTGGGGACTTGCGATATCAATGTCCCTTCCCCGGTTCCCACTATGAGGACGTAGCATTACTCCGATTTGACATATAATTTACTTTGTGGGTGTCTCAGATGAAGTAGAAGACGCTTACCCATCCAGCACACAGCGCTTATTCGTGAAAATCTCTCCTTTGTTTATAATTTACCCTAGTTTCATCGAGTTCGTTTTACGTTTTTTTTTAATATTTCAGTATAATCTTCTGCTTTCAGGTACTCGAAAAGAATATTCAATGCCGAACTTTGGACAAAAGTTCATTGGTGTTGACGCCGGAGGTACACTGGAGATCCACGGTAAGAAGAAACTCGCGTGGACAAAGCTAACGAAGTCATTACCGCGACTCCAGGCAGGCAATGGACTACTCTACACCCACTTAGACTTCGTGAGTTTGGCGGTCCTCTATCTTAACTACACACTATCACTAACTACCTAGACTACACGAGTTTGACGGTCCTCTATCTTAACTACACACTATCACTAACTACCTAGACTACACGAGTTTGGCGGTCCTCTATCTTAACTACACACTAACACTAACTACCTAGACTACACGAGTTTGGCGGTCCTCTTTCTTAACTACACACTAACACTAACTACCTAGACTACACGAGTTTGGCGCCATTCTAACTTTACTACACACTATCACTTTCTACCTAGACTACGCGAGTTTGGCGGTCCTCTATCTTAACTACACACTAACACTTTCTACCTAGACTACACGAGTTTGGCGGTCCTCTATCTTAACTACACACTATCACTAACTACCTAGACTACGCGAGTTTGGCGGTCCTCTATCTTAAATACACACTAACACTAACTACCTAGACTACACGAGTTTGGCGGTCCTCTATCTTAACTACACGCTTTATCTCATTACATAGACGGTTTAGTCTGGCCTCCCTCTAGTATGCAAACTACACTAACCTAGACTTCATGAATCGGTTGCCGTTTAGATTTTCCACAAAGTTGCACTTACTTTCTAAACTTAATGAGTTTGTCTTTTTTTTTTCTCACTAGTTAATTTCGAAACGCAAATCTAAATGTGATATCGACGTTAGATTGTCAGTGGGTTGATCCTCTGTCCTTTTGTATCGACGTTAGATTGTCACTGGGGTGATCTTCTGTCCTTTTGTATCGACGTTAGATTCTCACTGGGGTGATCCTCTGTCCTATTGTATCGACGTTAGATTGTCACTGGGTTGATCCTCTGTCCTTTTGTATCGACGTTAGATTGTCAGTGAGTTGATCATCTGTCCTTTTGTATCGACGTTAGATTTTCAGTGGGTTGATCCTCTGTCCTATTGTATCGACGTTAGATTGTCCCTGGGTTGATCCTCTGTCCTTTTGTATCCACGTTAGATTGTTACTGGGTTGATCCGCTGTCCTTTTGTATCGACGTCAGTTTGTCAGTGGGTTGATCCTCTGTCCTTTTGTATTAGATTGTCACTGGGTTGATCCTCTATCCTTTTGTATCGACGTCAGTTTGTCAGTGGGTTGATCCTCTGTCCTTTTGTATCGACGTTAGATTGTCACTGGGTTGATCCTCTATCCTTTTGTATCGACGTCAGTTTGTCAGTGGGTTGATCCTCTGTACTATTTAATCGACGTTAGATTGTCAGTGGGTTGATCCTCTGTCCTTTTGTATCGAGGTCAGTTTGTCAGTGGGTTGATCCTCTGTCCTATTGTAACTATTGTATCGACGTTAGATTGTCACTGGGGTGATCCTCTGTCCTTTTGTATCGACGTTAGTTTGTCAGTGGGTTGATCCTCTGTACTATTGTATCGACGTTAGATTGTCAGTGGGTTGATTCTCTTTCTTTTTTTATCGACGTTAGATTGTCCCTGGGTTGATCCTCTGTCCTTTTGTATCGACGTTAGATTGCCAGTGGGTTGATCCTCTGTCCCTTTGCATCGACGTTAGATTGTCAGTGGGTTGATCCTCTGTCCTTTTGTATCGACGTTAGATTGTCAGTGGGTTGATCATCTGTCCTATTGTATCGACGTTAGATTGTTACTGGGTTGATCCTCTGTCCTTTCTGTATCGACGTTAGATTCTCACTGGGGTGATCCTCTGTCCTTTTGTATCGACGTTAGATTCTCACTGGGTTGATCCTCTGTCCTATTGTATCGACGTTAGATTGTCACTGGGGTGGTCCTCTGTCCTTTTGTATCGACGTTAGATTGTCAGTGGGGTGAT